ACTGCCCATTCAGGTTGCTTTTCTGTGCACCCTCCTCCACATTGACCCGTCTGATGCCCTGTTGATTTGGACATTTAAAAATGCCAAGCAGTCGTTACGTTCTAGCTCGATAGTGAAAATTCTGTTACTGTGTGCAGTGTTAAACTGGGCCAATAGAACTCGACGCACATTTCACTATCCGCAATACAAATATGTCGTCTACGTATCGACGGTAATAAGCCGAGCTGTTGATGGATTCGTTCTGCTGGTTGCACTCCAGTTTTCTCATGAAGACGTCCGCGAGCAACGGTTCTAATTGTGAACCCATTGCCACCCCGTCCACTTGTCGATATAGCGTCCCATTACACTGAAACTGAAGGTTTCGCGTGCACATGATTAGCAGTTTAGTTCCGATAAGTCAAAACGGAACCTCGTCCGTTGTCTAACGGAGAGAGCGAGAAGAGTATGTACAGATGATACGCTTTCAGGTGTGCTGAGCTTTTTACGAAACGTAGTCGAGCGTAGTGGGTACCCTGAAAAATTCATCCAGAGGCACATGGAACCCCGAGTACAAAAGCCCAAACCCGTTTCCGCAGAGAAGAGGATGATATACTCATCGTTACCATTTAAGGGTGACGCGATAGCTGAACGGACCACCCGAGGACTTTCCTTAGCAAAAGAGAGAACGTATTTTGCCGCTAATATCCGCGTAAGCTTCAACTCAACACCGATTGTACGCCAACAACTTAAAGACAGGATACCTCGGTCGCAGACCTCCTTCTTTGTGTACAATTTCTCTTGTTCGTTTCGATCATGATACATTGGGAAAACGACCGGGCGACTGTCCGTTTGGGCTCGAGAGCATTGCGCACTTTGGCTCTACAGCGGCGTGAGGAATAATGTAACGAGTGCAGTAGTGACGCACCTAGTAGACTCCGATCTTCAAATCGATTCGCGTGACGCATTCACACCGATCTACTGTTTCCCCGGACGTTACACACGGGCGGTCAGATGTCGCCTGCTGTCGACAGCAGAGGCGATCGCAATTCGACTCTATAACCCGGACCATTGTGCACAGAAAAATCTCGTCCATACTTTAACCTTGCCTTGGCCTCAGATCAACGCGACTAACAATGGCAGTCACGTCACTTCACTTGACCCCGCTTCACTCAGACCAAACACGTAGACTTATCGATTAGTTACTCTGCTTCAGTGATCCAATTTAAACCCACTGAGTGTAATCTAGCATGCTTTATTGTGGTTGTATCAGCCTGCTGATGAAGCCTTGAAAACAAGCCTGTTCGCTACTTTCGTTTTCTGATATCACTTCCTGTAATTATTTCTCAATTCAAATACATTCTTTCCCAATTTTCAGTGACGTGGTATGTATAAGATTATAATTTTTAGCACATCGTCGCATAAAGAAATAAAATAAATGACATGTTAATGCCAAGAACACTACTGTGCGCGAACATCGCAAATTTCCAACTAAAAATATCGCAATGAATTCAATTTGTCTGCATTCGCGATAATGTTTATGTTACTTTTCCACTCGCTTTCCTACCTACGCATACCTAATACAATAAATTTTTGTTCAACATTGTACTGAGCCAGCGGTTACACCTAATAATTATCTAGACGTTTGTATTCGATCAAAGTTGGCGATGTGTACTGCTGTGTTTTTGTGCCCTGGATTACTACACGTTAACTCTTACGATTATTTAAACCTCAACACTATTTCAACGACAACTAATAGGTGGTTGTGGATCCTTATAATGTTCACTTGTTTTTAAAGTATTTGTGGTCAAGCGCCATTTTCATGAACCACATTCAAACGCATTATGTAAACATAGCCTTAGGGCTTCCCGTGTAAGAGTCGCTCCTATAATTTGCACAAATACAGATATATTGTCTCAATGTATCCACATTCACTCTGCGGGGCTCTGAGCTTCTGATAGTCCTGTAGAATTAACGTAGGCAGTAGGTGAACCCTTTGGTGGTTATAAATGCTTCTCATAAATATAGCTTCAAAGGGCCATCTGCCATCATATAACTATTAAGTTTTATATGGCTAAGAAAAAAAAGTAGTTTTGCACACTTTCCCCTCCAAAGTTACCGGTATGTTTTTTTATTTTGTTACAACTGCAGCTACGCATTTTCCTTCACAGTTAGATAGACTGCATTGTTCCTTTTCCGATCTTAATTCGTGCACAAACATACGTGTTGCATTTGTATCTATTTTTATTTCAGGTATTGCTTTCATGTTATGTAATAAGTAGACACACAACACAACCCCTAATCCCGTGCGTCAGCAATAACTCAAAAACTGGATTACTTGACGTTGTTTGAAATTAGTAAGCATAATAAACAGAGCAACCTCATCCTGTTTCCCAAAGTAACTTGATTGCAAAATATTGTTATGTCCTTTTCATATAAACACCGATTTATGAATCAAGTAATATTTTGATGAATGTAAGAGAATAAAATATATTTAGCTTATCTAGTCGAAGTGGTTTAAATGCGACGGTTGTTAACGTAGCCATAGTTAGTAGATCAGTAATCTCTAGTGTCAGTGTTTTCGTTACAGTAAGGTTTATCATGTTTATCTTATGGTGACAGCCTTTCTCTAGTTTTAAGTCCATTTTTATTGCTCTTGTCGAAAGCAATCTATACACCTACTAATGCAACCTCATGGCTTTTGTTGATATGCCCAGGATACTGCACATCAGTGTTGATAGGTGTCAATAACCTCATTCAATTAGTGTCATATAATGGATGAACAGCATCCCCGTTATATCTCCGTTGGTGCAGTACCAATAATTCCGACAAACACAGGCATAACCGTGTGAATATAAATCATTTATTTTCCGGAATCCATAGAGTTTTTGCGATTTTTCATAATGCCATCACATCTGACATCAACGGGGTATCCAGAAAAATGTTGTGTTTCTACTCAGATACCAACGTTTCAGATTAACCATGGTAATAAGCTAGTTCAGCACCGAAAACACAAAGTTTCGTCACGAGGGGCCGCATTCTTGTTCGTTCTAGTTACGCTTATTCGGCTAACGTGTTTTATTGAGAATTTCGCATAAAAGGCATATTACCCGCGCCAAAAATAGTAGTAATGTTGGCCAAGTCTTATTTTGTTATTTACACCAAAAGTGGGAACAGTAGTATAATGTAGATAAAAAAGCCGAGGCTAGACAAGTCCCATGAAGGAGTTTATGGGAAAAACGGTTAAAAAAGTTACACAAAAGTGGAAAACCCATCAGTGGACACATGTTTTCCACCTTAATGCAAATGTATATCCGTCTACCCCGAATTAGTAAGCTTGCTGAGCAAAACGTTTGCGTCTTGTCCCCACTCACTAAACAGAAATCAGAACAAGTAATTCAGGCGGTGTAATTATTCGTCGATTAGTTTTATAAAAATGGGTAGCATGGGAACAGAAGTGAAAATATTCGTAAGAGCGTCCATGGTTGACAGATTTGAAGGGAAAAGTAATTCCGGTGGCACTTCAGGGAACTCTACTGAGTAGCCAATTTCATCTTTTGATCCCTCAGTTCTGTGTTGCAACTAAGTGTCAGGTGGCGTTAAGGGTGACCTGGATTTTGCAAGACCTGGAAAGCTTTGAGGTCAACCCGTATACGGCAACATAATTGGCTGCGCACTCCCAAGGCTTTCAGTCGCATATGACATGACAAGTAGAACAATCTCTTCACATGTATCGTTACCATTCTCTGTGCGATCTCCAGTGTAGCCAGATGGCGTTTTAACCTAGACCGCTTGCCCCGCAAGATACCAACATTTTGGTTGACTATTTTGGACGCCTTCTATGACTGCACTAAACGGTCGAAGTCGTCATCTATCGTCATTCCATAGTTGAGCTCCAGTGAGGCGGTCTACAACATTTGGACTCTAAGCTCATATGCTTTGTTGAGCAGGTGGCGGAAAAACATAATGCAACACTTGTCCGCTTTAAATGGAAGTAGGTTAGCATTTGACTATTCAAAAGCGCGGTCTAATTTTTGTTACAGCATATTATGATGTTTGGACAGCCCATCGTCCCCCATATCTTCACAACAAACAGCATGAAATATGACTTCATGACGTGCTAGGAAGCAACGTAGTGCGTGGAGACGTGCGTACAGCACACGCGAGACATTTAATCTCAAGCCACGAAAACTACATTGTCTTATTTGATGGACAAACGAAAACACTTAGTTTACGAGTGCCAAACATTTAAGGCATACATTTGTCGATGTAGTTGTCCTACTACATCCCAAATTTTAATCTTGCTCTTTACAATAACTATATTCATGTTGCCAATCGGATAAAGCCGTAATGAAAGATAATGCAGACTAAATGCAAGCGAGCAAAACTTGTGATGCACACGATTAAAGGTTCACAAGGCTTAATTTATTTGGAGGCTTTGATGTTTTTTTATATATCATAGTCCACTTTCATCCGCACTTTATACAAAAGTAACATTAAAGCTGTGTATTCCATTATCTGCTAGTAAACTAAAGGTTAGTATTTGTGGTAACTTCAGTAAAGCAGTTATTTTGCATCTCTGCGTGCATGCCGCTGTCTTGAGAAACTAAAAAGATATAATAATGCGTTTATCCTCAGAGATGAGTTACACGTAATCATCATAGAGATATAGAAATGCGAGTTCTTGTTTAATACATTTGTTAGTAATCTAAACAGTAATACTGAACTGAACAATCGCCGCTGTATATTGCACGTAAACATTTGTAAATATTTAAGCTGTCTAACTTAACTTTGTTTAATTCCCAAATGTAAGCCGAAAGCTATGTTAAAGTGTACCTATTGTAGCAATAACCAACATAAAAATAGTGCATCCAACAATAAGTGGAGTACGCACACTATAGCATTTATGGTATTTTCCCAACCAATCAGTGTTAACCTTTACAGGTAAACTTTCTTCGATTGGTCCTGCCACATTGATAACTGCATCTAACGCTTTTACTACAGGCAGGGAACGTCCAGATAACCAAACGACTAGATGTGTACGGATCCCCAGCCAATTAACCAGAGCTCAACATTTGCGTCAATCGTACGCGGGAAATCACGACGTCAGTAGAGGTTATGTGTATTTCGATGGAGAGTCGACGCATCAGTCTGCTCGTTATTCAAACTTATTAAAAGAACGAAGACTTTCTAGGACTTTACCGGAACAGCCAAATTTTGATAGATGTAATAACTCAACAAAACCAAATACACGAAGCCCGCGAGTTCAATTTGCACCTACTTCACCCGATAAACTTCACTCCCCTTGTTTGCATCAAGTAAGCAGAGCATCAAGCTTTGATGGTCGTCCACTATACAACAATGTTTACAGCAAATCACTCCCATTTGAAGACAGATTACCTGGCGCAGTTCGTCAGTTCAGCTACTGGAGTCCACCGATAAAACAATATGTTCAAAGTGGATGTGATCGATCATCTAATACTAATACAAATAGACCCTTGGAGAAAAGAGGTCGACTTGTTGTCGCCCCGTCGATTGAAATTAGCCAGGTGTACGGAAACTCGGATTCTTCAAGCTCCAATGAATATATAATAAACAGTGAACGAAAGCTGACTAAAAACGTAAGAGTAACTTCATCAACATCACTTCCAACAAGTGATTCACCTTCACAAACTATTTCTGATTCACCGCCCCGCACCGTCGATAGCAACAACAACAGACTGCAATCATTTTCCTCCATTTGTTCTAGTCGCCGTGTGTTAACGGATTCGCAGCTTTCAATGAATAATTCTTATGTGTGTGATAATGCCTACAACCCAAGAAGCCAACCTCGCCCTAAATTAAATAGACAATCATCCTCTTTTATTTCCGAGGGAACTAATATCAGCAACAAGCCGCTGGATCAGAGTAAGAGAAATACTCAAATGGATGAGTTTGACTACTTTTGTCAGATTGCTAACTCCCCCTCTGGATCCAAAGTTTCGACGCATAACAGTACTTCTTCCCTAATACCATCTAGGCAAGTATCTGCCATGCGGAGTCATTCCATGCGATCGGCTAGTCCAGATGACACATATCTTTCAAGAACTGCTGCATCCCAACTCGAAGAGTTTGTTGATTCCTCAAAATCTGGTCGGCTAATTGAATCTCCAAAAATAACCCATCTGAAACCACCATCACGAGGCCAGCTGAGACGAGCAAGTACCGATGAGAGTGGTACTCACAGTTTAATTGAGCGTGGCCCGGTAGCCGCCACACTGAGTTACTCATCAGTGCATACAGGTATGCAAAATCTGTGCAAATCTCCACCAACTTCAGTACCAATGCTACCTCCGTGTCAAGGAGAAATCGTGAACCCAAGTGTACCACTGGGTGTTCCCCTATCCCCAGAATCCCTAATGGCTGATGAACCAGGGATGACCTACTATCAAGTCCAAATACTCGGCGCATCCGGGGTTGGCAAGACCGCACTATGTCAACAATTGGCAAGATTAACCGCAAGCAAAACAACGGAAGGTAAGTGTTGTTTCATGCCACCTTGTACACAGTTCTAGATTCATTGTGAACAAAATCGGGAAGATATATGTGTGTATTTCCATTCAGCAGTGTCATACATAGATAGGTGCACGATAAAATAAGGTGATGTAAAACATGGATGTAATATTTCCTACTGAAAAAATACTGAAACATCTAAAAGTGACATAAGTATTACAGCGCATAAAATCTGAATGTGCGGTTAAGCCTAGAATGCAACTGCATATTTGACGCTGGTTTTCTAGACCAAGCATTTTTATGCCCTTTTTCAATATTGACCACATTTTAAACTGTTCTATATCTCATGGTTCCCCACTGTTGATCACTAAACTTCAACAATCCGCAAAGCCCAACAGGCCTAAATCTGTGATGTCAACCGATTGTAAGTATATTTTGTTGTGACGACTAAAGTTTGAACGTTAGTATCACTGATGTTGGCCATGGTAAAGTTTTTGAACTTTCCTAGCTTCAAGATTGCATTCATTGTGCAGCAAAAACCGAACCACTTATATGTAAGTACAAAAATATATATACTTACGCAAAGATATTTTAGCTATTACCCTGTGATATCCGGTAGAGGAATCAGTCTATGTCCAAACATTCCTTCCATATTTCGTTGATTTAAAACAGGCTATTTTGCCACTATTATACCGTTTAAACATACATTAGAGCTTATCTTCTACATTTCACGTCAGAACATCAACTGTAGCCAAAATCCGAATCAGGGTTTCCATGTCTATTAGGCCACGAAACCCATCTTTCATATCCTTTCGAAAATATTTTGAACGACTGTCATTAGCAAACAGGTCTGCATCATTTAGCTCTTCCGCGTCTGCAGAGAGAAATGAGAAATTGGGAAAATTTCACGTCTGATGTTTTTAGGAAAGGCAACAACGTCTTCTTCGTTTGAGATAAGTTTACTCAGCTAATCTTGCAGTGTTTTATTTAATAAGTTTTTCTACTAATAATTTTAATGTTTTTCAAAAACGTCAGCCAGATAAAAGACGTCTAGCTTAGCTGCTACGTTTTTATATATTCATTTCAAGAAAGAAAGGTGATTATGTTTTCCCAGAGTTCAACTAAACGACCAAGATATCTGTCCATGGGGAGACGTCTAACCTCTGCTTAAAATAAAGTAACCCGGTAATCTTCATTGTTCTCCGTACATAGCGGCTGGAATTGTCCACATTGATAAGAGTGTGACTTGACACTGTTGAGTACCGTTGTGGCAGTTGAACGTGAATCGTTTAGGCGCCCTCCCAAGTTATTAACCAATAGGTGCTCCCAATAATCACAAAATGAATTATATGAACAAAATGGAAAAACAAGTTAGATTGGCAGTTCATTCTTTATATATTTCGACCAGTGCTGTAGCATCAGCTGTTGATCTTGCAATTATTTTCAAAGTGCTGAAATTTCCAATCAGGGGGCCATTGATTACCTTGATCATAAACTGCACTTTATACAATTTTTTAATTCTCTTGGTAAATATCATATGTTCCACTAATACATCATCATTGAAGAACCGGCTATGCCACAAGAAGAGCGCCCTTAGCAGGTGAACTTGATTCATGTACTAATAACGGACGTTTCCTGGGCTGTAAAAAGTAACTAAGGTACTTTCCATGCCGTGAGACATATCATCCATCCGCGTGGATACAGTTGAGTTGCTAAGCGGAATGGCCTGAATTGATTCTTGTGGATTCATGCCCATCAGTTCCTACAGTAGTATTGATACAGAAGACGGATGTGACTCGCTGTTTTGTAAAATCATTTATTCTTGCATTTCCGGACGATCTTACGTAGTTCACTAACGTCATCCCCTTTGAAGAGCTCCTTTGATAAATTACTGCGTTGGTGCACCCATCACAAAAACGCACAAATCCAGAGTTACATTAAGAAATCCACTCAACTTGGCTGCCTACACACGCACCTGGACAAATACACTCATTTACTGGTTGTGACATATGATATAGAAGCAAATTTTAGTAGCTCACGTTGTTCACTTGGTGGTCTGAGTGTTCGCTGAGCTCGACAGTTTGACTGCAAACGTTTCATCACCACTCAGTGGTGACGTATTCATTACGCTTTTATGTAGCAGAGCGGCGCGCGACGATGCGTCACTGACGCTTGTTGAAAACGGCTGCTCTAGATATCAGTCTATTGTTACGCTGCCAGAAAAAATCCAACCGCAGCTTAACATAAGTATTTATATATATACATCAACAAATAACACAGCAGAAAACTAATTTTTTCTAATAAATACGTGGACACATATTTTATCGGTCGACTACGAGAAGAAATGTTCCCGCATTATTTTCTTATTTAAATGCACTTCCCTATTCTGTAACTTCGATTTCTCTTCCTATCCTTTGCTTACTTCACGTGACTTCCACAGCAGGGACTGCTAGGGCAGGAAAGGTGGGATTAAATGGTTGGCCAGGGTGCGATACGGGTGTTTCCGTTTTAGATCCATCAATAACTGAGCACTTCATCAATTCCTGGCTCAAAGATCCACTCAAGATGGAACACTCACGGGATTTTCCTATCGTTCCAGTCCCCATCTGAACTGAACTGAACTGAACTGAGCATTGGGGAAGGCCAACAGGTACACAGATTTAATTTCCAATAAGGTCAACAAAGTTGGGACTGGAGACGAACAACTTCAAATCATAGATTTAGTATATATGTGCGTTGTTAACTTATTTACAGAGGCACACGTTTAGGGTGTTCGGGAACAAGACTGTTAAATTCACAGCGGTGTGTTTGTTATTATTGTCCCTATATTCATAGACGGATTTTCATTGCCTGATTTGGTCAACTGTTATCCAACCAGAGTAATTCGGCGCATTTTCATCAGAGTAAGCACGTTATTTATGCCCGGAAAGCGACTGCTCCATTCATGGACAATTCTACTGCATTTCTGTTTAACTTGAAAGTGTTTTACTCGGAAATAAATGATATGTAACACATAAACTATTTAGAAAATGTTATTTTAGTATTAATTTAAAGCGTGAAATATCTGCTTTTAAGATTCACGTCTATATGATAAGCGCATTCCAAAAACCTGAACATTAGCAATCAAAAATAAAATATATTCGGTGTTTGGTACACAGTATTATATCATCTAAAAACCAATGCATGTCATAATAGGAGACATTTTTCGCAGAACGGTTCATGCATGCATCCACCACTGGTAGAAGTGAGAGAAGTGTTAATTGTTTCATAGTCATCATTGCATTAGACACGTTAGCTAGAGGTGTAAAACTTCTCGGCTACTGTGCCGCAACATACAAAAGAAAAAAGAAAAATGTACAACAGTTGCATACCAGCTGGGCTAAGATCAACTGATGCGCATCGTTCCGGATAGCTACCAGCGGGCTACAAAGCCACAAAAAAATTAATATGTAAAATTTTATCATACTACGAACTGCGATGGTGATGGGAGGAGGAGACAAAGAGCGATAAGATGGGACAAAGAAACCCACAGCCCGAACGCCACTGAGATCGGCTCTTAGCCATATAAAAACTGTATCCAGCCAAACGTGTTCATCGTCTTTTGGACCCCAACCAGGGAGCCGTGACGCTCCAACCGAAGCCAGCTCCGAAGTGATGGTCTATATTCCTCTCGACCAAGTCATCGCTTGTCCACTCCTTTTCTTATTCCATTCACACACCCGACGAGCAATCAACGCACGTCGCGGAGCCGGTGGGTTGGCGTGCGTAAAACAGGACCGAGCGATCGGTACCTGGTGCGTGAAATAACGGTGCTGACCGGTTCATTTCATTTTCCCGTGTTTTAAACAAGGTGCCAAACACGAATGTTGCTCATGTGGTGTTCCCAACAGATGCGTGTTAAAGTGCGAAAGCACTGGTGGTCGAACGTAACTAGCTTCTTTAGGTCCGTTGATCTACGTGGCCAGGTTTCTCAAATGTATCAGTAAGGTCGCAAGTACCGCTGTATTGTACAATCTACCCTACAGGGCGAGGGTGATGTAGCGTCGCCGCCATAGGTGGCAAAGACTAGCAAAAGCACCTCGAGCTGATAAAACTTCTCCGGTAGTTGGGTTTCTGAACGTCACCTAGCTGATCCTCAACAAGGGTCAGCGCAGGAGACGATCCCTGCCAAGCTTGGAGAAAAGTTTTGCAGTTCGATGGTGCAAAGCAAAGCCCGAAGCGACGACAGTATTGATTGTTTGCAAATTTTAAGAGTTAACGTTTATTACCATGCCAAAAAATAGTGTTGTGTGTACAAATAAAGCAAATATAGAAACGGAAATCTAAACATAATAGACATGTATGAAACATATCTATTGAACACGCTAGCCATGTAAACCTATACAGGTTTTTAGACTACTTGTATTTACTAACAGCCAAAGAATGTATCAATTTAAGTTGTAAAATTCTAGAATCCCTCAACCATGTAATTTCCGTGGATAAAGGTTTTAAACTCGTAAGTTTACACACATGAGTTGGTTATCCTTTGGTAAACAGATATTTTAAATTTAAATCATAATATTCCAAACAAAGATATTTGAATTTAACATGTCGACCGGGAATAAATCTCTATTAATTAAGCGGCTATTTCCAAATTAGACAACTGTTTGTCCAACCGAAATTAACAAGTTTCATTGTCTGCCGGCAATATTCGTAGAAATTATCATCTGGTATTCCGTAGAGCACATAATTTACTTTGAAAAAGTGTGAACCCACCAAGGAATACTTTTCTTTTTGTTTTCATCACAATTCATAGTAGCTGCTCTTGCTTAACAATCATTTTGAGGGTTGAGATGCATTGTGATCTGCAGGCTTACAATGCATAATTTTAAGCTAATAACTCGCTTTCACACAAGGCCTAAAGTAGAAGCCGCTTGAGCTACGCACCATGTACAATAATCTAAGGAAACCAAAGTCAATCTTTAACGTGGAGTTAGATATTAAACACAAATAAGCCTGATCTCAACTCAAACAATTACAACGAT